ATATAACTCTCTCACATTGCTTCAAGGCCACTTTTATAACTAATACTTATTCTTCCACTGAAATGGAATTAAGATGGACTCATTTTATCAATGACTTTGTATTATGCATTATTTACAACCTCTCAGAAAAAATTTTTTTCTGACGTTATTTCATTTTGAATGATCAAATTCGTTCAAACTGTTTCGAATTTCTTGTACAATTGTCTTTTCGCATAATACGTTTTTGAAGCTCGAAAGAATGTTTCACAATTTGCATCATCTAGACAAATTTCGGAGAGAAAGAAGCGACCGACGTCATGGAATGATATCTTACAACAATTGAATAAAAAATGATTCGCTACTGTTCTCGAATGTGCAATTTATGTCGTCTCTTTCATTGCCTCACTTCAAAAGATGTTTGAATTTCGATAAAAGGCGAATCGAACGCTTGAAAAAAACTTCATACGGTAGAGATTCAATTACAATGTGAATGAAGCTTCTCATTTTCTGTCTGATCTGCTTGAAATGGAAATCTGAGCTTTTGTGCCCTCGAAAGATACCATTTTTGGCAATGGCTTATGAAACAATCAAATTTTCTTGATCTCGAATGGTATATCTTAAAAAATTATACTTTTAATCAGTTGATTATTACGCATGTCATAATAGAACATGGTGCTTTCTATTTTTCAGCAAATTTTTTCTAGTCAAATATCTGCAGCATCTAATCTATTAGAAGAACGGTAGTGCTACAAATACACGGTGGCAAGTCTGAGAATTCATCCGATTCTGAAACTGAATTCATTTTCATTACGAAGAAGACTGACCATCAACTGATATAAGGATGCGATTAAATTTGCCACTGTATGATTGTGCTGTACACTTCTAAGCATTTTAGTCGATGATGTCCTTGAAATTACCTGGTAAGTGATTGCTGTTCCGAGATAACATTCAAAAAATGCATTTGTTCTGGGATTGGCATCATTGGAGCGTAAGGTCCCGCAGTTGGTTGTTGTAACTGTTGAGGTACGACACCCGCAGATGTTCCATTGAAACCATCGAACACCCCACCACCGGTACACGATGTAGCAAACGCTGACGAACCCGACGACGCTGGTACACCACTATAGAAAGAATCTGCAAGTAGCACATGTTAAGCTACGAACTGTTTATGTTAATCTGCTCATTGTTAGCTTGAAGTTGTTTGGCCGGCAATCAGGAACCGACATGAATCATAAAAGAGAAGGAACTCACTCACGGAATGCAATATACGATAAAACTGATCTGAATACAACGAATTTTCACGACTGATTCACCTCCCACCTCAACAGCACTCATTAGTAGAACGAACATACTTGCAAGCAGATTTTTCTGCCAAACATTACATCTTGAAATGTTCAACTGAGCAGTGAGCATCATTATATGAAGCTTGATACGAATGAAATGATACCATTCATTGATTTATGCAAAATAACAAAGTTGGAATGCAAAGCAATGTGGGTGATGTAAAAAGTAAATGTGATCAATAGACAGAAACTAATAGAGGGAAAGAAAAGAAGAAAGACACTTACTGGATTGGAATGTTTACGCATTCTTAATTAAGCATTAAGAATACAACAATAACAAATAAAAACATAATTATGGTTTGTTGATATTGTGTAATAGAAATTGATCTAATATAATATACAATCAACTACAAAAGTAAGCACTTAAATCAGAAAATTTTTACAGACGAGACAAGATTAAGACTTTCACGGCATCCCAGAATCCTCACCTTTCAAGCTAGATTCCGGAATGTTTGTTCGGAAAAAACCTGGTATTTCAGGACCTAATAAAACACAGTATTTTATATAATTTTGATAATTTACTAATCCTGAATTACACATCAATATTCGCCAGTCCATTCATGTTCAGCAATATTAGTCGGGTACCATCCACGGAGAGGAGGGAATGAGTAAGTAATTACACATCGATGCCAATTCAAATTTCCTTTTTCAGAAAAAATATTTCGCAATATCATCACTACCGTTTAGTCTTTCCTCATTACCGTTGCGTTATCTTCCATTTATGATCGTTTCCGAATCACCGGGAGCAGAAGAAACTGCCAGGATTCGATCCCAATCTTGCACCGAAAAACTGTCGAGCTTTGCAAACATCAAATAGGATGAATCGCTAAATCAGTCAGTGAATGGGATAAGACTATTCAAGATATTTGATGAGGAACAGACTATTGAAAAAAAGAAGAAAGCTAAGAAGGATGAAATTACTGATTAACGCGGATTTTAAACACAGACGCATTCTCATGCTTGCTTTCATGACGAGTTAGAATCATTTCAACTGCGGAGTCATATCAAGTAATAACTATATATGATACCCATAGTACATTGATGAAGTTGTTGTTGCGAATGGTAGAGTAATGGTTGTTGATGTTGATGCTGCAGATGATGGTGATGAGATTGGGGTACCTGCGGCTGACCTTGAGGAGGTAACATCGATTGTTGAGTAGCAAAATGTTGGAAGCCGCCACCAGACGAATGCCAAAGCGCAGTGGATTGTGGATAGACGTTAGGCTGATGGACTGTCGGCGGATGTTGAGGATAATAACATGACGGGGAGGCACCTGAGGGTGAGCCGGAAAGTTCAAGGGGAGAAGTGGTGCCATAGAATGATGGGGAAGATACGACTGCGGCAACAGCCAACTCGTGAGGCGAAGGAGCTGGCGAGAGGGTAGTAGCGTCGAACTGGGCAGCCGCACTGAGAACAGAAGATGATGCTGATGATGTACCAGCCGCGGGAGTTGGCTGTTGGGAACAAGGAGGAATTGAAGCGTAATCCATCTGTTGAGAATCGAGAAAATATTCAGTCCAGAGCAGGGAGGGCCTATCTTTCAAAAGAAGGAAGAGATAGTGGTAAAGTGTGGGATGGGAATCCGAAAGGGAAAAGTCCCAACGATTCTCCCACAAAACAACGTTTGGATGATGAGATAGATGAAACACAAGCAAACCAAATCGACGTTTGGTTTGGATAGTTGACGACTAATGGGAAAACGCCAACGAACGAATGGGTCTTATATTGCTGATGCTGAAGGCAGAAGATGTAAAAGGTCCTTATCGTACAGCTGACCGGATGAACAGTTTCTTGGACTGTTAGAGTGAAATTTTTCCAAGGAATTCGATGCGATAAATTCCTTCGGTCGAGCTGGATTAACTTCTTGTAAGAGAGTTGTTTGAGATAATGGTTGTTTGAGTTTGAATTTTAGCTTTACTTATAGTAATAATAATAATAACTACTGCTCTACTGCTAGTAGTATGAATCGAAATAACTCCACTCAACAGCATCAACTCGATATCGATATATTCCTATTGCTTCTCGACACAAATATATTCTCAACGATCAGAATATATTCTGCTTCTCGACGAATCTCTCGAATATCGCTATCGTTACACACTCAAACGCAAGCACCAATAATTCGTTAGCAATTCTCCCACAAACACACATACACTCTCAAATATACACATTCGAAACGAGCAAAAGCCCATCAGCAGACAGACTCCTCTAAGCGATACAGATGCTAAAAGCCAGCTAATGGGCGTGGCAAGGCAACAACTAATACGATGATTTTGATGATGGTGGTGGCGATAATGTTCATCATATGACGGATCACAGAATTGACGGCTTTTCACAGCTTCAAGGTTTAGGGACGACTGCCAATAACCCAGCCAGTACCGTGGTACGTCAATGTCTCATCTTGAAACTTTGGTGGTCGATTGATCGAATAGCGATTAAAGTTTTTGAAATAAACGATAATTTTCATCTAAACTTTGAATTCATTTACATTTCACATGCTCGAACATTATTACCTGGATTGGCCAGGCTATCAAACATTTATAACGTTGCTGGCCACAATGCTCGCGTTTCCGTTCGCACTGTTTTAGCCTTGATTG